CCGCCGCCCGGATCCGCCCGCCGCCCGGCCCCGTCCCCAGCCCGAGCCCCGGCGCCGCTCCTCCTGCCCCGGGGCCCGCGCGCTTCCTTTGTGCGCTCCCCGCCGGCGGCTCCCGCCCCAGGCGGCTCCCCGGGAAGGGCCCGGGTTTGGGGGGACAGGAAGTGAGGCTCCGGCCCCGGGAGCGCGCGGCGGGGCCCGGGAGGCGGGCGCTGAGCGGGGCGCGCGGCCCCAAGGATGCGGGAGCCCCGAGCAGGTGAGCGCGCGGGGCCGGGGCGGGGGGCGGGCGCCGGGGCGGATCGGCGGGGTGTGTCCGCCCGCGGGGACCCCGGAGCGCCGCCGAGCAGCCCCGGGGGGACGGGTCCCGGCTCCGGACGGCGGCTGGCAGGAGCGGAACAAAGAGAAAAGTCTTCCTTCTCCAGGTTCTCGGGGGTCTGCCTCCCGGAGTCATCCCTGAAGGGGCTTGCAGGTCTGTTCTGAGCTCCCCCTCTGCTCGCGGCGGCCCGATCCCGGAGCGGGGGGTTCGGTCTGTGCCCCCGGAGTGCGGAGTGTGCCCGGGGGCCCGGCGGAGGAGGGGAGCGGGGAAGGGCTGGGACGGGTTTTGCTTTTGGAGTTCAGGAGTGTTGACTCTGGAAAAGAGACTTCTTGGGTCTGCAAATTCCGACTTGTGATTTCTGCGCATCTTGATCAGAAGTTGCTGGCATGCTCGTCTTATTTTCTTTTTTATTTATTTATTTTTCTTGCTGAGGAAGCCTTATAATAATAGCGTGTGCTCTCAAACATTCAGAACACTCCGTGTGCTCCAAGTGACAACCGCTGTATGCGTACTAGTGGCCAAAAGTTTTTTTTTTTGTTTTTTTTTTTTAAAGTGTCGGATAAGACAGCAGGTTTACCTTGAAAATAGATGATTGTTTTGTTTCTAGGGCGTTTTAGTCTCGTGTAGCTACGTGTACATGGTTGGTCCATGAGAAACATAAGTTTGAATGCTATAGATCTATATAGTACTCTGAAAATATCGTGTACTTTCTTTTAGTGATTATTTTAAAGCATCATTGGCAAAATATATATGGTGGGGACCTTATCAGCAGGGCGGGAAAGTACAGGATTCCGAGTTAAAGTGCATTTGAGCAAGTTTGAGAGGGGATGGGAAGAGAAAACATTAAAATGAATTTACAAACATCTCTGTCTTTTGAAAATTTGAACAGAATATAATATATATTTGTTTTCTTATTATGTAACAGAATGGTTTTGTAGTTTTTTTCCTTCAAAAGCTAATTATGAATTGTTTACTTTAGTAGTGAGGTAATTTATAACTCCAGACCTAACTATCTTTCAAATTATTACATATTATTTTACACCTGAGACTCTCCAAAAAGCATCCTAAGTTTCTACTCCTCTATTCATTTATAACTCTATGACATCATTTGGTAGCAAGTATTGTACATAAATGAAAGTTAAAATGTGTAAATTAATAAATTTGTGGTTAAGCAAAACATTAACAGTAGGTTTTATGAGCAAAAATCAAGCTATTCTAATGGTTAGATCTTGGGGGGAAGGGAGAAAGAGTTGGAAAAAGCACCTGATACACACCCCCTCAACTTTTAATATTACATTAACATCTACAAAAATAAAAAGAGAACACATTGGCTTTTCTTTATCCCTGATACTGTAAAGTGTTTACAGTATCTCAGGGATAATGGCAAAGTTTTACTCTGCATTTGCTTAATCAGAGCATAAGTTAATAATTACATTGTGTCCTATCTATTGCCTTCAATGTATAGCCTACTTTGTACTGAAGAGACTACATATTTGAACACCCTTAATATAAATATTCATCTTTTCTCTGTATATATGCAATATCTTGTGCTTCCTGCACACTACTTAATCCTTCTTCAGTTACCATCTTTTGTGTATTAAGCTGAAACAATACCTCATCTCATGAAAGGGTATTTAGTATTTGTTATGTATATACAATCTCTTAAAATTTATACAAACGCTACTGGCTAATCAGAAAACTTTCTAGTTTAAAAGTATTAAGGTTCTCATGTCTTTCCTTTTTTAAAAAAAGTATTTTTATTGATTTCAGAGAGGGAGAGAAACATCAATGATGAGAGAATCATTCATCAGCTGCCTCCTGCACGCCCCCTTCTGGGGATCGCCTGAACGTGCCCTTGACCAGAACCAAACCTGGGACCCTTCAGTCCTAAGGTCTATTCAGGGGGTAGGGCAAGGTTCTCATTCTTGATTTTTTTACATTTTGCTTGAACTACGTATCTATTTACTTTATACCTTGACATAATAAAGAGCATTACAAACTGCAGGTGGAGGAGCATATCTTTTTATTTTTAAATTTTTATTTATTGATTTTAGAGAGAGAGACATCAGTTTGTTGTGCCACTTATTCATTGATTGCTTTTTGTATGTGCCCTGATGGAGGATCAAACTGGCAACATGTGTGTATCCGGATGCCACTCTAACAGAGTTGCCTGGCCTGGGTGAGATAATATATTTTTTATATTTATTTTCTATTTCCCTCCTTACCTAGAGAAGTATGGTGCTTTTACCTACAAAAGGCACTCAGGAAATGCTGTTAATACAGTGCTATCGGTAGTAGTTTCTGTCTCCTTTGGCCTTCCTCCTCTATTCCTTGTTTTAAACTTTTCTTTTTCTCTCTCTGAAAATAACCAGAATTCAAAGACCAAAACACAAGCAACACAAACAAAAAGCCAGACAGACTGGGTCCTTATCAGAGGTACATCCCTGTAGGTAAATATAGATGCTTTTAATCTCCTTAAGGGCACGGCGACGGCTTAGGCTTCGTCTTCTGTGTCTCCAGATGCCCACTGCTCTGCCTGGGACCCGGAGACGCGAGGCACTTTTGCGGAATGGAATTACAAAACGTGGGCTGGCAAAGCGTGGTGCCATCCCCGGTGCTGAGGCCCATCACCTCTGGGGCTGGGGCGCAGTCAGAGCGGAAAAGAGGCGTCTGGGCTGGACCCCAGCGCTCTCCCTCCTGAGTTGAAGCTGCGAGGCCTGGGGTCCGTGTCTGCCTGCTGAGAGAGGCGGGGGGCGCACCCCGCCTCTCCGTGAGGTTCCGGCCCCAAGTCCTGGGCCCTCCTCCTTTCCCCCCGCCCAAGCTTTGCTGAACGATCACCTTCCTCTGCTCCGACGAAAGCGGAGGTAGGCACTCTCCCGGGGTGCTGTCCCTCCTCGAGGGGGAAGGACACTCCGCTAAAGTAAGAACCCGCGCTGGCCGGGTTCTTACCATCCACAGGTGTGACGACAAACGCGGTTGAAGTCGCTATTTTGGAGTCTTGAGGCTCCAGCCCGGGAATCAAACAGGTTCCCAGCACCTGTGGCGGCTCAGAGCTGGGTCCCTTAAAAGTTCCCTCCGGGAGCAGCTGGCCCGGGCCCTTCTCTAGCGCGTCCGGCCGGAAAGCACTGCCCCGGGCGGAGGGTTCCGGGGCCGCCGAGGCTGCGCGTTGGCATGGCAACGCCGCCCGCTTTCCCGGGAGCAGCCGGCGCCCGGGCGCTCCGCGGTGTTCGCAGCCACGCGGGCTGGCCGGTCCTGGCCCGCCGCTCGTGAAGCCAGATGGCATTTAAGCCCTCGCCCGCCTCCTCTGGGCCGGGCCCGCCGCCTCTCAGGCGTCCGGGGCCACGTGGTGATCTGATCGCCGGCCGGTGCGGGGTCTTTTACGGTTTGTTTACAAAGCAATCAACGTGGTGACGTCACTACGTAGAAAGGCTTCTCCCCATGCGTGCTAAGCGCTACACCTCCTTTGAACTGACAGCTGCCATACGCTAAAGGGGATTATCCCTCTGCTTTGCGTTCAGTGTTAATTTGCCTTTGGGGACTGGGGCTTGGGCGCAGCTTTTTTTTTTTTTTTTTTTTTTTTTTTTTTAAAAAAGAGTAATGTTTTTTTAAAAAATATTTTATTGATTTTTTACAGAGAGGAAGAGAGAGCGATAGAGAGTTAGAAACATCGATGAGAGCCGAAGCCGGTTTGGCTCATTGGCTCAGTGGTAGAGCGTCGGTCTGCGGACTGAAAGGTCCCAGGTCCGATTCTGGTCAAGGGCATGTACCTTGGTTGCGGGCACATCCCCGGTAGGGGGTGTGCAAGAGGCAGCTGGTCGATGTTTCTCATGGAAGTTTCTAGCTCTCTCTCTCCCTTCCTCTCTGTTAAAAATCAATAAAATATATTAAAAAAAAAAAAAAAAAAAGGTGTGCCTGCAACCAAGGTACATGCCCTTGACTGGAATTGAACCCAGGACCCTTCAGTCCACAGGCCCACGCGCTATCCACTGAGCCAAACCGGTTTCGGCTGGGCATAGCTCTTTTGGAGGGTTTTGTAGTTAACTCCCCTAAAGACTCAAGACCCTCCTGTATGGAGTATTGGGGAGCCAAAAAGAAGCAGAAAAAACAAAAACCCCACCTTATCTTAACTGTGGAAAAACAAACAAACACCCACCTTATCTAAAATAGAAACGGAACCACTAATGCTAGCTATTCTGTTTGGGATTATCGTCCTGCCAGCCTACTATCTCATTTAATCCGAAACAGCCTTGGGTGGGGTCACTCTTTGCTGAAGTGAGTGAGGGGTGGGGTCTGACCCCAGGCGCCAACACAGCTCTGATGTCAACTCCCCCCCCCCCCTCCCCGCCCCTGCTAACGCTGTCCTCTCCCAAAGGTCAGAGGAAGCTTATTCTTTGCATGTGGCTTTATTGATGCTGATTTTGAAAAGCAAAGTCCGGAGTTGCCATTGCCCGGGTAACCGGCGTGTTGTTCCTTTCCTCAGCCCCGGTGTGGACGCCCCCTTCGCCTGGCCTGTGGAGACTCAGCTGTGTTTTAATGGCGGCGGCAGCTGCTGGGTGAGCAGCCGGTGACGGTGCGTGCCCTCTGGCTGGAGGGCAGGAGAGGAGAGATCGCCTTCCTCCTCGGGCACCACCCCTGCATTGGTAGCCCTGCATTTCCCTCTTTACTCCTCCACTCTTGAAGAGAGAAGATGCCACTGCCATTCGGACTGAAACTAAAACGCACCCGGCGCTACACGGTGTCTAGCAAGAGCTGCCTGGTCGCCCGGATCCAGCTGCTCAACAATGAGTTTGTGGAGTTCACGCTGTCTGTGGAGAGCACAGGGCAGGAGAGCCTGGAGGCGGTGGCCCAGAGGCTGGAGCTGAGGGAGGTAAGCCACACGCGAGCCTGCTGGCTTCTCTCCTTCCCGCCCAGCCACGGAATGGGTGCTGGCAGTGAGTGCTCACAAGCATGTCCCTGGCCAGGATACTGGGATTAGGCTGCAAACCCACAATCCCGTGAGGACAGAATAGATACAGAACAAGAGGTCTTTCCTTGGGGGTAAGAGAGAGAAGAGAATGCACAGTGCCTGAGGTTTTTTTGGTTTATTTTATTTTAAATATTTTTATTGATTTCAGAGAGGAAGGAAGAGAAAGAGAGAGATGGAAACATCGATGATGAGAGGGAACCATGGATTGGCTGCCTCCTGCACGTTGGACCTGCAACCCATGCATGTGCCCCCAACTGGAATCAAACCCGGGACCCTTTAGTCCGCAGACTGATGCTCTATCCACTGACCCAAACTGGTTTCGGCTATGAATGCATTTTGGATGATCAAGTTTCTTTTTTCTAATATAATACCAAATAGGGGTTATCTTGATCTATACGTGTACTGACTTCATTCATTCAACATTCATGGTTTTCTCCGGGCCAGGCCAAGATTATGGCTTGAGTTTGAATTCTGGTTGTTTAACCTTGGGCAGCTCTGTGACCTCTCTGGGCTCCCGTTTCCTCATCGGAACCATGGGGATCCCAAGGGTTATCCTCAGAAGGGTTGTGTGATTTGCTGTTCTAGTAAGGCCAAGCTCTAATCACTAGTTGCTATGGTAACCATAGCGAGGTTTGCCCTGGAAACCCCCCCTTCTAGGCAATAGGAGTAGAGTCTTCAAATATCCACCTAGCGGCTTCAATTTATTTATTTATTTAAAATATATTTTATTGATTTTTTTTAGAGAGGAAGAGAGAGGGATAGAGAGTTAGAAACATCGATGAGAGAGAAACATCAACCAGCTGCCTCTTGCACACCCCCTACTCGGGATGTGCCCGCAACCAAGGTAATTGCCCTTGACCGGAATCTAACCCAGGACCTTTCAGTCCTCAGGCCGACACCCTATCCACTGAGCCAAACTGGTTTTGTTCTAGTGGCTTCAATTTAAAATGCTATGTAAGGCCTTTGATCAAAAGGGTCTAATTAAACCTAGGATCCTTCCACCCTTTGGCCACCTTGTTCGAGGATAAGAGAAAGATGAAGAAACTGGTTATTCCAGATAAACATCTGACTTCCTAACTGGAAATCCCACTGATGTTGTACTTCATAAGTAGTCAGCAGTAGATAAACGGTGCGACTGGTGACCATCCAGTCATTTGATGATTCAGTATTGAAGAGTTAAATGCCCAGCGCATATGTATTAGGAGCTTACCCTGGTGTTGATACCAGTAAGAGAACAGTCCAGGTCCATGCTATGATAGGGAAATTGGAGGGTGCTATAGACAATAGGGTTTGGCAGTAAAGGGAGGGTTTCCTAGGGTAAGGGATATCTGAACTGGCACCTGAAGAATGGGGTAGGGTGGTCCTATCGGGGGTTGGGAAAGACTATCCCAACAAAGGGCCGGAGACAGGAAGCAGATCTACCTGGAACCTGAAGTGGGGAGAGGAGAGTGGGGAGAAAAAGAGGCCCTATACTGGGTTTTGTTGAAGGGTTGCGGCTTATCCTGAAAGTAATAGGGAAGTTAGTGAAGGGCTTTTATTTTATTTTATTTTTAAAAAAATATATTTTATTGATTTTGTACAAAGAGGGAGAGAGATACAGAGTTAGAAACATCGATGAGAGTCATCGATCAGCTGCCTCCTGCACACCCCCTACTGGGGATATGCCCGCAACCAAGGTACATGCCCTTGACCGGAATCGAACCCGGGACCCTTCAGTCCCCAAGCCGACGCTCTATCCATTCAGCCAAACCAGTCCTGGCAATGAAGGGCTTTTAAACAGGGGTATGGGACGATTGGTTTTTTCGAAGAGTGGCCCTTTGGGGAGTCATTAGAAAGGAGCAGTTGGGGTACAGATGGTGGTCCCTTGGATTTGGATGGGATGGACACAGCGGGTGGAATCTGGAGAGATTCAGGACCTGCCTTCGGAGTGTTTGTCTAACCGGGGGTCCAGGTTGATACTTCGGAAGCTATAACTGAGCGAAGAAACATAAAAGAAAGAGTAGGTTTGAGGGGGAATGGAGAGGGGTGGCGAGCTCAGATCTGACAGGATTGACACTGAGATGCCAATTGAGATGCTGAGCAGGCAGAGGCAGTCTGGGTTTGGAGCTCAGCTGAGAATCCAGGCTGGAGGGAAGAGATTTTAGAATAACCAGCTGTGATCAGTTAATGAATCAGAGCTGTGAGAAAGTGGGAGGGAGACTGTCCGGAAGGAAACAAGATGTAGCAGACCCTCAGGGTTGCATAGAGGAGAGGAGCCTTGGAAGGAAGTGGAGATGGAGCAGTCCTTAGGAGGAGAGCGTAAACCAGAAGAGATGGTCACAGCAGCCGCTCCTGTTTACTTGCATTTATTCCATCATTTTTGCTTCCTTCACCCTTTTCCCCCTATTTTGGTTTCTTTTTTTCTGTAATTCTTCCTCATTCACCAGATCTGCCTACAAACCCTACAGAGTGAACGTCTTGAGAAACTGTGGTTAATTTATTTTTGAGTACCAGGCATGGGATGTGTCAGAAAATACAGGTTGAACTGAACCCACAGGCCTTGCCTTCATTCTGTATAGCCAAGAAGTCCAGGGAGCTTGCTATCCCTTGTTTTAAGGTGATCAAACTCAGGAATTAGCCACTTCGTACAGCTGTGGGGATTTGAATGATTTTTTTTTTTTTAAACACAAGTGGGTAGAATGCTTTGAGAGGGAACAGATATGACCCCTAGAAAATGTCTTGCTTTTGCACAGGCTGTCCCACCATCCCCACCATTCCATGGCAGTCATGGTTAGGAACTTCGTGTGTAGAGCAGAGTTTTTCCTCACCAAGTTCCAGAAGCTTTCCTCTGTAGCATGTAAACAAATGGCTCAAGCGCCAGGCCTAATTGTACTGAATGACTGCTCAGAAATAACCTGGCTCAGCGACACCTGTTCTGAGTTTGTGTCCATACATTATTTATAGGATTCATACCAAGTGGTATTGGCATGTTGTTGTCTCACACTGTTCTCCCATCAGGCAAACTCAGAACCATCGTAGTGTATAGATTTGGCTGATAAGCTTTGCTATTGCCCATATTTAAATTGGGGGAGGAAGAATTCTTTCCTTGTCTTGCCTAATCACATACCATTTCACTATTATGACACTTACAAGGGCTCCACAATAATACCGCTATAAACGCCGTATCCGCGGGCTTCAACTATATTGATAACATTTTATTTCTTAAGCTGGACATGTGGGTATATGGTGTTTGCTTTTTGGTCTTTTTTTTTTTTTTTTTTTGTCAGGTATTTTTTAATACATGAAGAACCTAAAAACAAAGGTTAATATACTTATATTCGACCTAATAGACTTAGGGCTGTTAACTGTTCTCTAAATTCACCATATTTGAACTAGGGAAAGTGACTTTTAAAAAGGGGAAAACAATCATCCTCAGAGGAAAATATTGCTGTTTATTATAGCCACAGCCTCTCAGAGCTGTTGGAATTCTCCGCCTATCATTCAGAGTCTCATAACACTTTCAAAGAGAAGTTCTGAAAGGCCTTATAGAATTTAAGGGGAATTAGGACATCTTGCCTCCAGTATTGAAACTAAATTATAGCGGTTTGATGGAGGTGGTGAGACGGGGAAGGGGGGAAAAACGGGGTGTTCATCTGGGTCCAGCCACTCCCATGGGAATCAGCACAGCCGAATGTCTCAGGGAGGGAGACCTGTGTCACCCCAGACCTGTGTCACCCCAGCTCCCTGAGAAGGATTATAACCAGGATGCAAGTTCAGTAATGAATGCCCAGCTGTGGAACCACCAGGGCCCTGAGGGAGTGTGCCATGACCTTCCTGTAGGCAGACCACTTGGGAGCCAGAGCAGCTTGGTGAGCAAGAAATGAGAGAATGGAGGTTGCCCTGAAAAACCTTACATATCTTCCTGATGGACTGCCTCCTGGACCAGACCAGTTCCTTTGAGTCTGGGTGGTTTTTCTGGGAAAGGCTTAAGGTGGGCACTGGCTCTGTTTGCCTCTTGAGAAGACTGCTTACCAGGGCGATGAACACATTTGCCAGCAGAATCCAAAACACCTGGTTTGGACCCCAGTGCTGCCACTGATGAGTTGTGTGAAATGACTTAATTTCCCAAGTCCACTGTTAATTATCTCTAAATTGAGAATAACAGTATCTACTTGATGGTCATTGTGAGGATTCAGTGTCAAATGTAAGCCGTTTAGTGGAGGACCTGGTATTTAGGGAAGTCTGAGTAAAGGTTATTTTTCATTACTGTTATTATTTGTGACTCTCATTTCCATGTGGTGGTGGCTGATCCACTCTGCTTCAAATTAACTCTTTCCTTTTGTACATGTCTTTGTCTCTTCCGAAGAGAACATAGCTTGTTTATAAAATGTTCTTATAGTACAAACAAGTTGAGTGGTCGATTGTAATCACACTTCTTATATTACTAAAGGGCTAACTTTTCAGTAGATCGCTGTAATTTAGCAGTCATATTTGAGCTTCTGTTTAATGCCAACTGAAATTAATTTGTGCAATGTCACTGCCTCATTGCTCTGAGCAACTAGAGCTTCAGTAGGTTTTTACTTTCCTATTTGCCTATTTCTTCCCTCTTGTCCTCACTTAACTACTAGGATAAAAAAAAAAGTTTTAAGGAAATTTTGGATTAAGATCCCCCCCCCCCCCCTTCTTTCTAGTGGCCCGGTGCACAAAATTCATGCACAGGGTGAATTAAGATTTATATTTTTTCTTTAATGTGTGTATTTCTCAAGAATTCTTTAAAAATCTTATGTTTGGCCGGGACCGGTTTGGCTCAATGGATAGAGCGTCGGCTTGGGGACTGAAGGGTCCCGGGTTCGATTCCGGTCAAGGGCATGTACCTTGGTTGCGGGCATAACCCCAGTAGGGGGTGTGCAAGAGGCAGCTGA